TTCTCAAGTATAGCAAAGCAATGATTAGTGATATTTATATAAAACATCCTCTGCTTGTGTAGATTCAAGCGTTTTCAAATGATAACCCCCTGTGAGACCACAAATGGAGATCAAAGTATAAAAAACTAGTTATATTTACATGTGAGCATCCTCATGAATAAAGATTTCAGTCTGTTCAAATCATGACTTCTTGGGTAAGGGAGGGGTTACAATTAGGGAATCATTTTTTTACAAATGGAAGAAAATCTTTTTAAAAAATTCATTTTTTTTCAAGAACAGCAAAGTTGTTTCTTATATTAATTTTGAGGCATTCCCAAGTAGTATAAAATTCAAACCCCCCTCCCCACCTCTGGTAAACTTTTCAATACTGAACTGATTTGTGCTTTTTCCTAGATGATGTGCTCAGGTGAGTGATGTAGCCCATGGGCCTCTGGTTTCATGTTTACTTTTAGTCTTAACACACTTGTTTGAGTATTTTACCTTTGGTGTTAATTGGTCAAGGGTTTAATTCCAAAAGGTGTGGTTTTTTCTCATCTAATTTTATAGGAACTGTGACCTCTCAATGCCTTGTCTCCATCCTTAGTACTGTGGAGTTACGGTTTGATGGAGCCCCCTATTCCCAGCACTATACTAAGAGAAGACTATAGCTCCAATAAAGATGGTAGGATACATTCCTTTGGTTACAACTGTTTTTATTTTACATTTTGTGGTCTTGTTTTTTTTTTCATTCTGTGCTGAGAGCTTTCAATCTGTGTTGGATATTGTCAATTAATTTTAATTTTTTTTTTTTATTTAGATATTGAAAAAAGAATTTAGTGAAAGCAACTTTAAAGGAAATGTAAAATGTAACACTAAAGTATGATGACCCTTACTATATAGGGAAATGAGTAGCTATAACAGTCATACAGGAACATGGGCCTATAATTCAGTTTACCTTCAAATGAGTTGTATCTTTTAATTAACCGCATATTGGAAGGACTTCAGCACTGACTTGCTTTCAACACAAAATTGTTCCGAAAAAAAATCATCATAGAATTTGACCGAAATTTAACTACTGGGTATTTTAATGATTTATGAACAGTTATATACAAAGGTGAAAAACCTGGAATGGAAAGACCAATGCATGTGGATCTTTCAAATTGCAGAAATGTTCAGCAACAGCAAGACATGAGTTCATTGAATTGGTGGAAAACCAAGGGGAAAAGGCAATGGATGAGGACTTTTTAAGATTTGGAAATGTACTAATTCAAATAGACATGATTGGTGGAAAAAAAACTGGAAAAAGGCAGGACCAATGGATGTGGGCCCTGTGAGATGTGGAAATGAGAGATACAACTAGACATAAGTTGATGGAATCACCTGAAAGACAAAGTTTGATGGACCTTGACCTTTCCAACAGCAAGACTTACCACAGTGGGCAACAGTCAATGATCAGGCATGTGACATAATAAATGATACAAAATCTTTTTTTCTTGAAAATTAAACGACAAATGAATATCTGATCCTTGATCTGTATTATACTGTACACGTATACATGGAAATTAATACCCCCCCTTTTTTTATTTTAGCCTCTTGAGCCCTGCAAGTGTCTAGACTGCTGTATGTAGGTGCTTCAAGATGTGGAAAGGAGCTACTACAACAAGATAAGAGTCAGTGGAAAAATCAGGGAAAAAATAAACCTGATAGATGTTAACCCTCCAAGATGCATGCAGAAATGTCAGAGATACAACTAGACATACATTAGTGGAGACAGCTGGAAGACTAGACTGATAGACATTAACCTTTCCAACAGCAAGACTTACCACAGTGGACAACTGTCAATAATCAGGTATGTGACATATTAATAACCGATTTTTTTTAAAAAACAACAAATGAATATCTGATCCTTGAGCTGTATACCAGTAGTACTTTATGCAAAAAAAAAATGTTGCCCCTGCTTTAGAAGTGGGTGATTTTAGAACAGGGTGAATTTTTAAAAAAAAAATGTGCATAACTGAGCAAATTTACATTGGAACAAAATTGTCTTAAATTGTTAGAAAATGAAATATCAAATATAACTTTCAATACAGTATTTTACTTAGAAATGTTTTTTTTTTTTTGAGAATTTATGTTTATATCATCATAAATGCTGAAATTTATGAACTATTTTTTATAGTATTCTTTGGTGATTTTAGTGTCACACTTCATTAAGAGACTGGATCAAGATGAAGTTATGTTAGTGTACTAGTCATTTTGAATACCAAAGGTAGCAGGTATGGGAATGTTACCTATACATATGTCATTTTGTAAGACACTTTACTTCATTTCATTTCCTTATTCTGTTATTAATAAATAAGCATTTTTGTTCTCATTGACAGAAAAGTAAAGTATTGAAGAGGTATATTCTTTTGATTGTATTTGGAGAAAGATGAAAATGCAGAAAGCCAGATCTGTGAAGCACACACAAGACTGTTTATGAGGGTATAGGGTCTCCCACTCAGACACATGGGTTTTCCTTGGATGCTCCAGTTTCCTCCCTTCTTTTTCTCTAATGTAACCATTGAGACAGTTATCTTTGAAGATATTCTAATGTTAATATTTTTTATCTAATAATTATAATTGATAATTTTGCTCTAAGGTTTTTTATGCTGCTATTACAATTTTTTTCTGAAATTTAACAAATTTTAAGATATGTTGCACATGTAATCATTATTTAATATTAAATTAATATTTCTGGGATACAAATTTTGTCAGCAGTTGTACCAGTTATAATTTGTATATTAGTTAATAGTAAATTCTGATTATTTACTAATTGTGCACTTAAATGAATGTATTTACTATTATACAGTAAAACTCGCTTAGTACAAACACGGATACAGCGAATTCAAGGATATAGCAAAGTCATCTTGGATCCCCAGCTATATATATATATTAAATGAATTTCTTAACGGTTACATGTATAACGTATTACGGATATAGCGAAGTAATTTCTTTGATCCCTGCGACTTCGTTATAACCGAGTTTTGCTGTATACTGATATAACTAAATATGCAAGAAAAGTAATTAATTTTTAATGTTCATTGTATTATGATTTGTGTTTTTAAAAAATGTAAACTTTTGATTTGAAAGTGTTATTTTGTGATTTGTTAATGTTACATGTACACTGTGATTTGTTTATGTAAAATTATAAGTGAATGTGAAAAAAAGAAAACAAATGAAAAAATGAATGGGAAGAGTTTCAAAATAAAAAAGCAAAAAGAAAAAGAAAAGACAAGTAAAAAAAAAAAATCAAAAGAATCAAAAACAAAACGAAAAAAGCACAAAACTTTTAATGCTGCCTGCTTGAATTAACATGTTTGCATGTTTTTTCAAGCAGAAGGTTCCAAGCCCTTAAAAGCAGAGGAAAAGTTTGGTATATTACATGTATATGACATTAATGAATGTGTAAGTGACTGCCAAATTAATGTAGACACAACTGATCATGAGCTTTTTTATTACCAGAAGATCTTAATAAAGAACGAGGGCGCTTTTGATTGGCATTCGGCAGGAACCTGGGCGTAATTGAAAAGTGAAAATTTTATTGACATGTCACATGAAATTTTTACGTTCTTTTAATTTATCGGGTTCATGTGAAACAGGAACGGAAAATATTTTCCCGAAATTGAGCTTTGATTTGCTAAAAAAAAAAAAACCCTGAAAATTGGCCACATCAAACATTTGGTACAAAATTGTTCATTTTGAAACACATTTTTCTAAAAATTTTCTATGTCTGGGTCTTCTCTCCATGATTTTGAAACGTTATTAGTGTGTATTTTCATTCAAAGAAACGAATACACTTTTTTAAAAAATGGAGAGAAGACCCAGAGACCACGAAAAATGAACTTTTCCCCTAAAAATCCAAATGTGTCAATGTGGTGCCTCTTTGTCCTTTTAAAGTCATTTGAGTATGTGTAGCGGTGTAGCTCAGGAAGTAAACCTACCTGTTCAGTGCACTCGAAGCGAAAAGTTTTTGGTTCGAGCCTGGCATGGGGCGTTAATTTTTTTTATTCAGGCAAGCAACCATTTATTTTGTCAGTTTCGGTTTATGTACTGATGTATTAAAATTTTGAATTAGATAAATTTTGGTTCAGTTTGGTTCTGAAGCAAAATCAATTCTAATCTTCAATTTTATAATGTACATGTACACGTATCATGCATCTATGCATTAAATATATTTTAGGTTTTATTTTTTGTGAAATATTACTATGTTATAGTAACCCCTAGAAAAAAATGGACATAAATGTTGCAATTTCACAATGTCTTTCAAACTAAATGAAAAAAAAAAACCATGGACGTGTTTGTAAAATCTGACCAGGTATGTTCAGCCAACCAAATCATGGACATTTAAACCATAAATGTTTCGTACAAATGATTCCTGCAGATCACCCGCCAAATGTGCCCATCTTCTTTGGTGTGTACAATGTAATAAATCAAATATTTTATTTATAATTCAGATATCTACAAATAGTAACTATAGTAGCAGCTTTAGTTCTGAAAAAAAAAATCATTGATTCAAAACAAACATTTTGGATACTAAGAGTAGTTACATGTGTATATCCTTGTGAAAAGTCCTTTTTTTCAAATTCGATGAAATATGATAAAAAATTAAAAATTGAAGCAAAATAAAAATTTTTGAATTTATGTCCTTGAACTTTTTTATCTTTTGGCCTCAAAATGATCAATCAATATGAATCCTCCTTAGGCAATATGATGAGTTCAGTCTTCTCCTGGTTTAGCTATTTATTTAATAATCAGGTAAACCTGTGTGTCATCAGCATAACAATGGTAATACATGTAATGTCTCCGGCAAATTTCTCCGATGGGTTTAGAGAACATACAATATAGACGAGGTCCTAAAACAGACCCTTGTGGTACACCAAACTGGAGTAAAAACTCTCGAGGATGTCGGCCCTACCGCAATTTGTTGACTTCCACCAGATAAACAAGACTTTATCCTATAAAGTGCCGAATCCTGTGATACCAAACGCGTATTCGATGCGACTGATTAGTATATCATGATCAATCACATCGAATGCAGCCGAGAGATCGAGCATTACGAGAGCAGCCCATGAATTCTTATCCAATGCAGAGGTGACACCATGGTGCACCCGTAGCAGGGCAGTTTCTGTAGAGGGACTACTTTGGTAGGCCGACTGCACGTTATCATGAAGCCGGTAAGCGTTTAAGTGTTTTTCAAGTTGAGATGCCACCGCTTTTTCTTATACTTTAGATAGAAAAGGCAAATTTGAAGCAGGTCTGTAATTTTTGAATTCATCTTTGCCAAGTCCCTGGCGCTTAATCAAGGGACGCACTATAGCTTTTTTGTAATCCAATGGTACTGTAGCTTCTGAGAAGGATTTTTGATAATTTCAGTTATGATTGGCAAAACACACCCCAAACATTGTTTCAAAACTTTAGTGGGTATTGGATCTAATTCTCAACATAGGCGCTTGGTTACAGGATAGATTATATGTTTTTCTATGTGTGCCTGAATACTCTCATGAAAATAAAATTCGCCGAAATTATCACGTTTTAAAAAAATGTCATATTTACTGTATATAAAAAGAGTACAGTAAATATGATATTTTACTGAGAGTATTCAGGCACACATAGAAAAACACATAATACACAAAATACACCATACTGTAACCAAGCGCCTATGATTCTCAAGACTTCGTTGGCGCATCATACCTCAGAAATCGACACTGGCTCAAACGTTTCTAGAGGAATGCCATCAAACTTGAGGCCAGCTCTAAGGACAAGTTCAATAGTAGGGGACTTGCTCAAAGAATAAAGATATTCTTTGATTTTCTGAATCTTTCCAATAAAAAAAATAAACGATACCTTCCTGTTCAGTACCTCCACCGTATACAACGGGTAGCGTGGGGGAGTCACTAGAAAGTGTTGGGGGAGTCGTTTCGGAGACATTTTTTCTTCAGACAGTAAATGTTACGTGGGGGGGTCTTCTTCGGTATATGTAAGATGTATTTACAAAAAAAAGATAATAGCCCACGGAAGGTAGCAATAGTTAAAGCAATCCCCCGCTCTTAGACAAAATGTTTCTGAATTTTCAAAATTCACAGAAAAATTATATTTTTCTAAAATCATGTTCTCAGTAATGTCATCTTCAAATATTTTATCATTTAATTTTACTGAACGACTTATTAAGCATGTTTAGTGGAAAATGGGTTAACTATAGCTACAAAAAATGACTTTTGAACATGAATGGGTCAAGTCTCCATTCTTCTTTAACGCTTAAATGATGGAAACCGAAATGAGAAATCTATTTCATTTGTCCAGAAAATGGAATCTAAACCCATTCTATGTGAAAATCGAAAATTTCTGAAAAAATGTACACTTCAACTAACCCGTACTAAATGTACGCTGACAGACCATAGGCGCTTGGTTACAGGATGGTGTATTTTGTGTATTATGTGTTTTTCTATGTGTGCCTGAATACTCTCATTAAAATAAATTAAAAATTCGCCGAAATTAGCAAGTTTTAAAAAATGTCATTTTTACTGTACATAAAAAGAGTAAAGGAGCGCCATTCGCCATCTTGAAAATCAGGGGGTGCCTCGGTTCACACTTGATTTTTACAATATCTACATTTTTCCTACCGGTGTCGGACAAGATCTAGCTTCAAAAATGGTTGAATGACAACTCCCTACCATCTGTTGACCTACATATGCCGATTCAAACAAGCAGTGAACCGAAACGTCCTTGATTCTTAAACCCCCACCTCCAACAATAACAGCGTCTCCATAAATAAGAACAACCAGATACGATAATGTCTTAATAATATCAACTTTTTTTATTAGAAAAAAAGGAAAACAGTCAAACCCTTGATTTTTTTTTTTTGGGGGGGGGGGGTATTTTTAACTGGTATGCGCTCTCAATCTAATCCACATGTAACATTTAATTATTTATTTATCATATAAGTAACACATCTTCAGCCACCAACGAATGACAATATCTGGAATAATCTGGGGTTAATACAAATATGTTAATATACAGAAGTTTTCCTGCATGGCCATTGTTTAGGAGATTGATCCCTCGGAAGTTCCTTAACTTCTTGGGGATCAATCTTACAAACTGTAGGATTGCAGAAAAACTTGCTTACCAAATGTTATTCCTTTTTAAGTTTCTTGATGCGGATTTATGATATTAATTGTCAAAATAAAAATTTACAATTTTTGCACTGTAAATTTATAGCCCATTTGGGATATTATATCCCAAACGGACTATTATATCCCATTTTGGCGATTGGTCCCAACCTGTTTATAAATACGTATACGTATAATATCTTAGTTATTTCGTGCGTTTTAAATGTAAAAAATCATGTATGTACGTACTCAGTATATTATATGCTTTTCAATTTACCGATAAAAATTGAAACCAAAAAAAATTATACTGAAAATGTTTTCACCGAAAACTCTGTTATCAACCTATCTATTTTTCAGGACGAAAAGATGAACATCTTGAAATTTGAATATAATTGGGCCGAAGTAGTGGAGGAAGCAGAACATTTAAAGCAAGAGGTATTTTGATTGAAGCACAGTAATCTCAACGTTTAAACATCTTACTAAATATGATTTCATCACATCGCAAAGTAAAGTGTTGACTACGTTGAAAGTTCTAAATCAAGAAGTTGAAACTTAGTATAACTACAATTTTTAATATGTCTTTTCATGCACTGTAAAAAATGATGTTTAACTTGTGTTTAATTTTTAAACAGTCGTGTTTTACAATTAAACATAGTAGGTTTAAATACAAAACACTAGCGTTTTATATATAAACACTGATGTTTAAACTGGTGTTCAATAAGTAGGGCGTTTAATCATCCGTCTTAAACACGTAATATTCATATGCATCAAATCAAAAAATAAATTAGGTGTTGCTTCTTAGTACAGTGAAAACTGTCTAATCCGACACCTGAATAATCCGAAACACTGTGAATTCTGACATTGATTTTCTTTCCCATTTTAGTATTTTCCTTGTTTTTAACACTGTGCAATCCGACACCCTGTCTATTCCAACGCAAAATTTGTCTCCCAGTGCATGTCGGATTAGGCAGGTTTCACTGTATTTGCTGTATGAATTTGTCGTTTTTACAGTGTCTTAATTTACGAAGTAATTCCGCACATAATATTAGATATTTATCGACACAGAAAAAAATACGAATAGCAAGGCAATATGTTGACTTTAGATCATACCAAACGCATTCACAATTAACATTAATTGGTAGTAATTTTGTGCCA